CTTGGAACTGGTGGCACCGGACGAAGACGTGGTTGATGCCAACGTAGTTGTAGACGTTCCCGGACGATCGGCTGACGGTGGTGAGACCGATACACGTTCTTGTCGGCTTGATTCATCGGTAGGATGTACCAATGGTGTTGACTGCGTTGATGATTCACCAAGCAAAGACTCGTTCTGCGATGTCGAAGGTTCCAAAAGTGTCGAATATCCAGAGGAAGTTGTTCGCCGACAGGCTTGGTTGGATGCATCGTCGACTGAATAGCGGCATTGATTGACCTTGATCGGTTTCGTAACTGGTTGATATGTGACCGCAACAATCGCCGGTCTTCAGCCCAAACGTTGTACATGGTGCTTCCGATCCGTTCTAGCACCACAGCAGGAGCCCCATCTCCATGTGTTGTTGGAGTGGACCTCGGCGTACACCAGATCTCCCTTACTGAACGATCGTAGTTTGGCTTCTTGATCGTTGGTTGCTTCTGCTCGGGCTGCTGGAGGACGCAACAGTTCCAGACACGTAGGCAGATGACTTCCGCTGGCGATTTACCATCGGGAGCTGAAGGATTCGGTGTGGTGCGGTAGGTTAGCAGAAAGGTATCGAGAGCTACCTGGATGTCTCCTCTCGCCTCTCGTATTTTCCGGATTGCCCGCTTGAACGTATCGACGAAGCGTTCGGCCTGCCCGTTGGACTGCGGATGGTAGGCGCCCTACGTGGTGATGTGGTCGATAGCGTTGTCAAGGCAAAAGCTGCTGAACTCGGCGCTCGTGAACTGCACGCCGTTGTCGCTAACCAGAGTGGTGGGCATTCCGAAACATGCGAAAATACTCCGAAGAATGACAATCGTGATGCTCACGATTTCGATCCACTTCCAGAAGGAATCAACGACTAGTAGAAAATGATCACCTTCGAGTGGTCCAGCGTAATCAATGTGTACGCGTTGCCACGGTTGGGTTGACTTCGTCCACGGTTTTGATGGAGCTTTCGGAGGACTTTTCGCGATGGATGCCCACTGACGGCAAGTCTTGACGAATGCTGCGATGTCGGCGTCGATTGAAAGCCAGTAAACGTAGCTACGAGCTATTGCCTTCATGCGTTACAATCCGGGGTGACCTCGATGCAGTTGGTGGAGGCAGCGGTCCCGGAATTGTACCGGAATAGCAAGACGTTCTGCGAACATCACGTAGCCTTGGACAACCGACAACGAGTCTTGACGGTCGTAGAACTTCTGGACTTCTAGATCGGCGATGGTCGACCTGGACTTCGGCCAGCCCTGCTGCCCGAACCGGTAGACCTTGCCAAGTACTGTATCAGTCTGGGTGGCCTGCTGCACTGTCCTGAAACTGAGAGGAACGAACTTGATAGAGTTGGACGCTACTGACCTCAAGTCCTTCTCGAGGATGACACTGGCTACGACGAAATCTTCATCAAGTCTTGCATGGCGGGTGATGGGTCGAGAAAGAACGTCCGCGATCCCGAACTTCTCTGTGTTGACGTACTCGATCTTAAGTCGTAGAGCAGTAGCTGCAATGCCCACCGCTGCAGACGATTTGCCGTGTAGACGGGGATTCCCGTTTTTGACCCATTGCAAGGCCTTCACGATCTGGTTGACCGTACCCTTGTTCTGCCGGTGTAAGTGCACGAGAAGCGTGCTGCACGATCTTGACGGATCCATCAGGCATCTTGTGGCTCAACGTAGCTCCAACTCCCACTGAAGACGCATCAACCGAAACAGTGATCGGTAGCTCTGGATTGTAGTGCGTCAACAAGAGATCAGATGACAAAAGCTGCTTGAATTTTTCGAAGGATTTTTGGCATTCCGACGACCACTCAAACTTCTTGCCGGCCTTTAACAATTCATCGAGAGGATATCGCATAGTTCGCATTCCTGAGACGAATTAATCGCCCCAATGAACGAGCGAACGCCGGACACATCCGTAGGAGCTGGCAATTCCCGGATCGCTTGGATTTTGCCTGGATCCGGTCGCAATCCTCGTCCGTCGATGAGATGCCCAAGGTACTTTATCTGTCGCTGCCCAAAAGAACACTTCTCCGTCTTGATGGGTGAAGTTATGCAGGTTTCGTTGGTGATCCGCTTCATCCACTCCTCCGACAATCACGTCATCGATGTAACCCGAGGTATGCTTGAGTCCGATCAGCATGGTGTCCACCAGTTGTTGAAACGCTCCAGGTGCTGCTTTCACTCCAGGCGGCAATCGGTTGTAACGATACAAGCCCCGATGCGTGTTGACTGTTAGCAGATCTCTTGAGGCTTCGTCCACTTCGGCTTGCAGGTAGGCGTCTGACAGGTCGATTTGGCTGAAAATTTTGCAATTGGCCAGCTTTTCAAAGATGTCCTGTGGTAGAGGAAGCGGATATTGATGCGGTTGGAGGGCGTCGTTCAGCCCGGTGGAATAGTCACCGCAGATTCGTATGGCACCGCTCGCCTTCCGGACCACAACTATCGGTGCAGCCGACTCGGGGTACTCGACCGGTGTGATGATGTTTGCTTGTTCCAGTCGATCCAGCTCTTGCCCTTCCTTCAGACTGAACCGGATCTTCGATTTCGTGCACAACCCCGTTGCGTTGGAGAATGTCGAGGGAAACGCTTGCTTGAGGGCGTCGATGTTTGACGGCCTGGTTGCAGAAATGCTCTATTGGGACCGACCACAGATTGAATGTGTCGATAAGATCGATGCCCAACAAATGCAACGGTTGCTTCACGACGTTAAATCGACCGTTGCAAGTGACCCCGCCTATCGAGACCTAACACGAAAACTTCGACTCAAGCTTCAGTGGATGACCGGATGCTGTAGACGCATTTATCGTTGCTGGCTTCAACGGTGGCTGTTTTCAAGTCATTCATTGCGTCAATTGAAACAAGTCTTTGCTTCAAATGAAATGAACTGATGCACTTGACGAACGAAACAACCGATAGTCATGTTGTCATGATTGACAGGAGGAGTTTTCAACGTGACTCGATAACAAGAAACACAATGACTTACACGAAAATGAAATTGCTCAAAATGATGCTTGTTTCGAAAATGCAGAACGCTGATTCTGTGTCCTACTTGTCATCGTGTTCCCTAACGTGCCGATCAGTGTGCTACGATGTGCTTCGGCACAGTGTGCAGAGTTGATTACCCCTTGCAATGATCATGTTTTAATGTATGGAGTCTGTTGATGTTGATAAATAAGTAAATGAATATATTGACAGACCATCGTATAGAATTAAATAGAACTTCAGAGCTAAACTTTATGATTGAACGTGAACTGAAAATAATTTGCTTTAGTAGAAAAAATATGATAAATTAAAAAATACAACAAATATTTGCTCAGTCTTCATGGCCGGTTCCCTAAAATCCGGCCCTGCATGAAAGTACTTTTTTCAGTGGATTTTTTTTTTGTCTTTAATTACCTACAACTTTTTCTAAGATGTCATTTTGATCAAATAGGCCATTTTCAAGTTAATATTTTTTGAAAAAATAAAACTCATTTTTAGATACGCCGCTTTAAAAAGTTACTCTTGAAAAAGTTAATCAAATTGAAATGAAAAATGCAATCTTGGATTGTAACCAACATATAAGCAAAGTTTCATTCAAAACGGAAAGGGCTGGAAATGCTCTTTACGGTTAATACAGTGGCGTCCCGTAACCTCACTTTTTACCTGTGCACCAACTTTCAAAACCAGATTTAATGTCATATTCATACTCGAATCGGTTGAAAAATACGCTTAATCTTCTAGTTTACTCGATATCTATCCATTGCACGTAATATTTTGATGTTTTGAGAGTTGGTGCACAGGTAGATTGAGGTTAAGGAAACGCCACTGGTTTAATAGAAAGCCATTCTTACAGAAAAGGGCCGATTTCTTCACCTACACTTCAATCTCGCGGAACACGAGAAAAGGGCCTATCATTGTTGATCGATTCTCTTCCTCGATTTTCTCTTTCTCGAATAACCCGACTGCAAATGAATTTCCCATTCAGTGTGTTATTTCAGGCGCAAGCTAACATCATCTTCTGCTGAACTGTGCTGCGAGCTTAGCGAGAAATTCGTTTATGTTCCCGTGGTAAACCAAAGAGAAAGTCGATGAAGAGAATCGAACAACGAGGATAGGACCTTTTCAAATGCTACGCGATAAATATGGTAAAACCTAGTTTAAGGCTTAAGCGTGACAATAGATCTAGTCGTGACTGCCGCAACGTATAAAATTTGGCTGCATTGTTGTGTGTACTTTCGGATACATTGCACGTGCTTGGAAGTCATGTAGGGTAAACGCTCCTATAGTGGAAGTACGCTAGTGCAATATGGTCCTATAGTGACTTATGGAGTTTCCATAATCCACTATAGGAATAAATTCCATTAACGTACCTACCCTAGAAACATGTTTAAGAAAATCGCATTCATGCTTCTGAGTGCTATCTTCAGGAAAACAGGGTGAGTTTGGCCCAAAAGAATTCCGAACTGCCAACCTAACTAAAAATTTAACGAATTCCGCACTAATTCCTAATTGTATTACACTAGTTTGTAGAGCCTTCCAAGTCCCCGGTAACAGGATTCCCCCGAACACGTACACCACCCACCGTTAAACCAAATTACCGATGTCAACCGCATTGCTATGCTTGGCGGCGATAGAGGAGCAGCACAATGATTTCCGGCGGAAGTTTGTGCCAGCACCACCACCACCACCACCTCCAGCGCCGTCGATGTCATCCACACGAGAGCTGCAGTCGCCGCTGTGCAAGTGAAAGGAAGTTTATAAGCCTGATGGCAGCAACAGTAGAAAATAAGATCATCGCAGTCAGAAAAAAAGGAGAAGAGTTCAACCGGAGAATAGTGATGCTGATGCTGGTGGTCCCTTGAGAGGGAAAACCGGAATGCTGCTTCGGTTCTTGCATGATTTTTTTGTTTTTCCTAAGAAGAAAAGTGAAATTGAAATGCCTTCAAGTGTAAATGTATTTTGTTTTTCTCTGCTTTTCTCCCGCCGGTGGATGTCGCGCAGCAGAGTGGAATGGGTGGAAATCATCGAACCTCGCACCAAGGAGCACATGTACGCCAACCTGACGACGGGCGAATGCGTCTGGGATCCTCCGGAGGTAAGTTTGTACTTGCAGCATTTAAAATCATTTCCCATTTTCCCTTTCAAGATCTGATCAGCATGAACCATTACCATCGTTAATCGATCGCACGGGCGTATACTATATTTTTCCGGATCGAATCGAAGAGTGAAAATTAAACCATTTTCCACAATGTGTCCAGCCCTTTAAGTATGGCTTCCTCTCGCTACCGTTGCTGGTGGCTCAAACGAGCGTGTAAATCGATGGGCAGTCATCGACAACCATCGCTCGATTTAATGCCTTGTTTAGTGTCGAATCGAAAATCTGACTCAAAACAAGCAGCGGTGGAGATTGGGAGGAAAAATTGAAAACGTTAAATTGAGATCGCTTCACGCTTGCTTTCGTCGGTGTGCACTCAGAAAAAGTATTCCTGTGCAGAATGCGTTTCGGTACCCGGCCGATGAGGCCGACTCAAAATAGAGATTTTCCAAGGAAAAATTCTCGAATATGAAGAGGTTTCACTCAGTCTATTAGTTTACTGGTACAATTTTCGTCGATTCGAGCAGATTTTCGTGGAAAATCTCGGAAAATTCATCTCACTTTGCGGATAAACCCACTTCTTGCAAAAATTCAGTCGACTCCAACTCAATTTTGAGTCGATCTCATCGTCCGTGTACATTGCAGATCCCATACAGAAAATGTATGGAATTCGCAGTTTGAGTGCCAACAGAAGCAACACCGATCGATGGATTCGCGTTAATCTTCAACTAAACTAAAAAAGCAATTGCATTGCGCACAGTCAGTCTGTGTGTGTGTGTGTGTGCTGTGGCTGATGATGACGCTCTGGTAGACACAGCTCAATTATAATGGATCAGTGTTCGGCTTCTACACTGACTGGCTGACTGTAGCGAATGAAAACAAAACGCAGGGAACGTCCGACTGGCAGAGACGGGCATCTGTATGAGTTTTATTATTATCGCTATTGAATGCGCGAAATTAAACGCGAGATAATGGATTATTTTCCACAGTTGGTGATGGGATAGGTACTTTGCTGGTAGATGCTCGGAAGCGGGGTAGCAAATTGAGCTAAATAACGAGAGAGAAAAAAAAATGTATGAAGATTAACAACTTCTAGTTGAGTTGGGTTATATGAGCCTGTTGGGGATGGAGGCGAGTCATAATTTAGGTTTTATTATCACCGGCTGCAGCTTCTTCTTTGACTGATTTCGAGCGTTCCGACGTGGATCGTTAGACAACAGCGGAGATTTATGGCAATTTGTTGGAAAGCAGGTCCGATTTACTTGAGGATCTGGGTAATGGGGACATTTTTGGTTGGACTTAGGAATGTTGATTTCTCTATCAATGCTAAATGTTGGTACAGAGCAGTTCCACGCCAACCGACGAATCGAGTTTCCGAATTCCATGAAACTTCGCTAGGGGCAATGAACCGAGTTTGTGTTGGAATTCGGCCATTTTTTTTTTAAATGGCATAGAGAGGATCTTTTGGAATTTTCATGGGAATATCTTGAAACTCTCCTTTGAGTTCCCTTGCAGATTTCATCAGAATCTCCGGGTACACTACTCAGAAAAACTTTGGAAATATGCTGAAAACTTCCTGCCAAACCCTCTCGCAAACTCCTTAAACATCTGAGGAATGCTCTTGAGGTTATCTTCAAACTAGCGTGAAATTTTGCAAACTATTTGTAGAACAATATTAAGAGTTTCCCCTCGGAACTATTAGCCATACTTCCTTGCAGATCTGCTCAGCATTTCTCTTTGATTGCTTGATTTATCCACATTTAAGAGATTTTCAGCCGTGGATGTAGTTGTCATATCATCATTAGTTCTGCCGTAGGGTAAATTCTCTTTGAATCCTTCTTCGAATTCCCTTAGAATGCTATTTTAAATTCCTACTCCAAGGCTCCTGGACTTTAACAAATTTTTAGGATTCTAACACTTTGCAGCCTTGAATTAAGGATGAGATTGCAAAATAAATTGAGGAAAATAGAGAAGTAATTCTAGGGATAATTCAGAGAAATTCTGGGAAGAATAACAAATGGAATTTGACTAGTAATTTTTGGTAATTTTGATAAGTTATGATTGTCTATGAAATTCTGCGAATTTTGAGGTGTCGCACGACTTGGTCCTATCAACATTAAAATGAGTGACCTTTCCGAGGTTCGCGGAACCAGATCCGAGACCACCGGATGGCCATTGTTGCCCGGGACGTGTACACATGGCCTCCGATGAATTCTTCATGAAATTCTGCCACAAGGCTTGGTTCTATGGAAGTGACAAATTGGCCACCTTTCATGGTCAATGACGAATTAGAGGTGTCACACGAATTGGTTCTATGAAAATTATAAATTGGCCTCATTTACGGTGCCTCCGGAACCTACACTTGGGCCGTGATGTACATTCTGATTGTCTGTTACAACATACACAGCCTTTGAAATGCAATGCAGATGCATTTTACGGAACCTATTGTGGAAAACACTTGGCCAATCAGGCAGGACTGCTGTCCGAAGAAGTCGTCTCCATTCTACTCGATCCATGGCCTTGTAGTCTGCGAAGGGTCCGCAGGTCGCCTTCTACTTGGTCAATCCACCTTGTGCCTCTTCTTCTTGTTCCTGTTGGGTCGCTTTCGAGAACCATTTTCACTGGGTCGTCATCCGGCATGCTTACGACATGCCCAGCCCACGGTAGTCGCCCAATTTTTGCAATGATGACGATGGATGTTTCTCCCAGCAGCTGGTGCAATTCGTGGTTCATTTGCCTCCTCCACGTTCGGTCATCCATCTGCACTCCACCATAGATGGTACGCAACACGTTCCGTTCGAAAACAACAAGGACGCGTTGGTGCTCCACGAGCATAGTTCAGGTCTCATGGCCGTAGAGGACCAATGGTCTAATCAGCGTATTGTAGATAGTCAACTTCGTGCGGCGGCGAATTTTATTCGATCGGAGCATCCTCCGGAGTCCAAAGTAGGCACGATTCCCTGCCATAATGCGTCTTTGAATTTCTCTGCTGGCATCATTTTCGGCGGTCACCAGTGAGCCCAAATACACGAACTCGTCGACCACCTCGATTTCGTCACCGACAATATGAACTCGGGGTGGGAGGCTAACATTGTTGTTCGCGTACGAATATACTAGCGCCGTCTAGTTGTCGAAAATTATCGTCCAAAACTGCGTCACTACTGGGGTCCAATTTCACTTCAACCCCCACACCGTCGCGCCGCTCCCAGAAAGGCTTACGTCGCGGTGTTTGTTTGTTTCTCGACTCGGGCGGTACATTTGGAACTGGTTGCCGATTTGACTACCGCCAAGTTCTTGCAGGATCTAAGACGTTTCGTAGCACGACGAGGACTTTGTAACGAAATCTACTCCGACAACGGGCGGAATTTCATCGGTGCAGCTAACGAGCTACGCAAACTGATCCAAAGCAAGGAACACCATAGAGCCATCGCAGACGAATGTGCATCCCACGGTATCCGATGGCGCTTCAATCCTCCCAAGGCATCACACTTTGGCGGCCTGTGGGAGGCAGCAATCCAATCCGCGCAGAAGCACACTCGCCCTCGACGACATGGGGACGCTATTGTCGCAGATAGAATGCTGCTTTTAAACTTACGCCCGATTATCCCTCTGAGCGACGATCCGACAGATTACGACGTGCTTACTCCTGGACACTTTTTGATCGGGTCTGCGCTCAAATCTGTTCCAGACGTTGATGTCTCCGAAATCCCAAGCAACCGATCAGCCAAGTGGCAGCAAATCCAGAAGAACTTCCAAATCATCTGGAAGAGGTGGCACTTGGAGTACTTAGCCACCTTTCAACCGAGAACGAAGTAGTGCAATCCGCCAATCGTATTGGAGAAGGGTCAACTAGTCCTCTTTATGGACGAAAAAACTCCGCCTATGGTCTGGCTAACAGCGAAAATCGTAGAATTACATCCTGGAGCAGATCGAAACACTCGGGTGGTCACTCTCCGCACCGCCCACAGTACCTACACTCGCCCCGTTAGCAAGATTTGCTTACTGCCGATTCAATCATCCAACGAGAAATCATCAAAACAAACCATTCGTCCAGAATCAGAATCACAACACCAACAATAAGTCATCGTTTTAACCAATTCCATCACCGATGCTGCACTGATTTCCATCCGGAGTCACCTGAAATGATAAAAGATACAACGCCCTAGTTTCACGGATTCACAAAATTTAAGCACGTAGGAAATCGTAGGGTCAAATCCGGGTCAATATGACCCGAACACCTTAAACGTAACATTCAGAACCTTCCAAAAATTTCATTCAAAACGGAGAAATGGAGTTTTCTATAAAAGACTAAAAGTCACAACATTAGAGCGATAATTGGTAAAATTATGACGCTGCGATCCGGGTCATACTGACCCAAGCACCTTTAAATGATTTTCATAAAGTATTTCCCCAGAGATGGCGCTGTTTCCTTGGTAGACATCGTTGAAATTCAGTATGGGAGAAGAGAGTAAATCAATCATTTCCAAGCAGTAATCAACAATTCACGGAGCCAAGTACATAGAGATAGTAAATATCTACCTTCATTGGAAGCTACTTTGTCTCTTTGTCTTTCTCTCTCTCTCTCTCACGAGCTAAATTTCTAAACATGCCTTGTATTTTGATGACACAGGATCAGGGTTGAAAATTCTCTGGGGAGAATCATTCGGGTGCGAGAGATATCATTCTCTGCGGTGAATCTCTGCTTATCTCCTCGGAGATTTTTCGTGGCACCACTGGAGAGATTGTTAGACACAGCACGAGAGAGTGAGAGAGTTGACTGTTCACTGTTCGTCTGTTTATACACTCACTTCCGTGAGAAAGATGGCAGCTCAAAGGTGTTATTGTTTCTCCAAAGACTCCGGCAGAACTTTACGTGAGTGAGTATACAGCAGTAGGCTGCAGCCTTCTCACAGGCATATTCGACGTGGCTGTTGAAGTTTAGCCGATCATCGATCATCACTCCCAGGTATTTCAACACACGTTTTGAGGTTATGGCGTGC